GGAAGACTAAGATTATTAAGAAAGATAAGACCTTTTCTTAATGTCAAGGCGGCGAAGGCCATCTATCAAGGGATGGTCTTACCAATTTTAACCTACTGTGGCATATTAAACTTAAATTTATGCAGAACCCGCCAAGACAAACTTTTATCAATTCATCGCCGTGCTGTAGGTATAATTGCTTCAAAACCTAACCACGAACTTAGGATAAAATCTCCTCATATCTGCAATCAAATTAAAGCATGTGTATTGGTTCGGAAATGTTTAGATGGAAACGTTTGTTCGAATTTTATAAACTATTTTGAAACGCACAAACATAGCACGATGACCCGAAACAACGGATACAAAGCTAAACTGCCAAAAATCCGGTTAGAATATAGCAGAGGATCGTTTTACTATATGGGAGCGAAACTTTATAATAATCTGCCCCTGGATACACGTAAAACTGAAGATTTTAACTCTTTTAATAAGCTCTTAGAAGAAAACTTTTAACATTTTTACCTTTTATTTATAACTATATGATAATATGTATCTATACATATGTAAACTTCTAATGATTGAATTCCTGTATTTCTAGTATATTTTAAACTTATATAGTGACAGGACCCACATTGATAACAGTTCTTTATTGAACTGACGTGAACATCCTGTATAAATATTCGTTTAATAAAATAAAATAAATAAAATCCACTGTACAAGCAGTAACATTTATTACTGATAAAATCCAAAAAGCAGTCGAAAATAAACAATACTCTTGTGGAATATTTTTAGATTTAAGTAAGGCCTTCGACACTGTAAATCATGATATACTGATTACAAAACTAGAGCACTATGGAATTCGGGTCATAGCTAAAGATTGGTTTAAATCATATTTGTTAAATAGAAAGCAGTATGTGTTTCAATAAGGGGTATTAGTTCAGATGAATTGCATGTTTCCTGTGGAGTGCCTCAAGGTTCTGTTTTAGGACCGTTATTATTCCTTTTACATATTAATGACCTTGAAAATTGCTCTGACCTTTTTGACTTTCATATGTTTGCTGATGATGCAAATCTATTTTTTTCGCATGATAGTATATTGAGGCTGGAGGAGCTGATAAATCACAATTTGATTAAGGTACATTCTTGGCTGTCTGCAAATAAACTATGTTTGAATACTGATAAAACAAATTACGTACTGATATTACAAATTACGTACGCCTCAAAAAGTAATTACCCATGATCCCAAACTTTATATCAAATGTGACCCCATTAAACAAACAAGCTATGTTAAATACCTAGGTATCTATATTGACTGCCACTTAAATTGGAAAACTCAAATTCATAATATTTAAAAAAAAATTCAGTGGAGCATTGGCATTCTTTCAAAATTACGATATTATGTTACATTTAACATTCTTCTTCAGCTTTATTATTCTTTGATATACCCTTTTCTTACGTATGGAACCATAGTTTGGGGAAATACCTACAAATCTTCCTTGAAATCATTAGTGCTCTTACAGAAACAAGTAGTACGTATAATCACTTTCTCAAGATATGATGAACATACTAGTCCTTTATTTAAAAATCTCGGTCTTTTAAAGCTCTTTGATATAAAAAAGATGTCCAACTTATTATTTATGCACGATTTCTATACAAATAGACTCCCTACTGTCTTTAACGATTTTTTCTTTTTCGTTAGTGATAAACACAAGTACAGTACTAGACTAGCAACAACAATTAGTTATTGTATACCAATTGTAAGAACAAATTACGGTAAATTTTCTATCCGATCACAGGGACCCTATATTTGGAATGATATAGATGATAGCTTGAAAATTCTAACTAAATCAGTCTTCAAAAAAAAATTAAAATCAAATTTATTAATGAATACTAGCTTTATCTTTATCTTTATTCTTATTTCTGTTTTCATTTGCTTTCAAATTAACTAAAATCAAATTTATAATTAATGATTACTGGCTTTATGCTTGCTTTTGCATATGTCTATAAATTTTAATTTGCATCTGTATAATCATTGTGCACCATGACCTTAAACCCAATGTTGACCCACAGTGGCTCGAATACTTTAATAAGGTTATCTGACTTCGATTAGTGTTAAAGCTATTTCAGATATCCTGTGCCAACTCTGTTTTAATGTGTGGAAAAAAATTTGTAATTATGTATTTTTGACTGGTGCAAATAAATTCTTCTTCTTCTTCTTCAATAGCTGATGAAAATGGAAAATATGTGAAAGCTGTTCTGAAAGACGCACTGGTCATACCAACGTATCCACAGGATATATTTTCTGTTAGAGCAGCTACTTCAAATGGAGCCAATGTAAAGTTCTCACAAGATAAAAATGAACTTGTCTACAAAGATGGTACAACTTTCATTATTGAGGAACATGAACGCTTGTATTATTTGAACACTGTTAATCAACTAAATGATGATAGCAATATAAGTAGTTCATATGATAAGGTAAGTCTTGCATGCAATATTTACAAGTGGCATGAAATATTAGGGCATTGCCCGGTACATGTACAGAAGGGAAGTTTGTACAGAAGGGAAGTTTGCAAATTGTAGAAATAGAGCTCCAGATAGTCGAGCGACAAAACCCCTAGAAAAGGTACATACAGACTTAGCAGGTCCCATTAGCCCAGTGTCCAAAAATGGTTTTAAATATTGCATTGCATTCACTGATGATTTTTCTGGAGCCATTTTTGTATATTTCCTTAGAAATAAGACTGACACCCTATTAGCAACTGAGAAGTTTCTTGCCGATTGTGCACCTTATGGCCAGGTAAAGTGCTTGAGGTCAGATAGTGGCACAGAATTTATGAATGGTGATTTCCAAGATCTTCTTAGGAAAAGAGCCATTAAGCATGAACCTTCTTGTCCAAATTCTCCCCACCAGAACGGAACAGCGGAAAGGTACTGGCGGACACTATTTGAAATGGCTCAGTGTTTGTTGTTGGAGAGTGGTGTGCCTAAGATGTTGTGGCCATGTGCCGTCCAAACTGCCGCTCATATTAGAAATAGGTGTTACAACAACAGGAAGAAAACCAGACCTGTCAAAGATGTGGGTGTTTGGCTCAGAGTGTTACATTTATAACTATGATCATAAGAAACTAGACCCTAGGTGTATGAAAGGAGTATTTGTCGGTTATGATAAGAACATCCCAGCCCACCTTGTTTATCACCCACAGTGTGGTAAAGTCATGAAACACAGATTAGTAAAGTTTATTAAGAATACCAGTGCAGAACAATGCACACAGACTGAAATTGATGATCTAGGCCTTTGTAGAAAGGAGGAAAATGAAATTTC